ATCAGTCATCCAATTTTCACTTACCGGGTTGGGCAATAGAACAGAATCTCTTTTTGTACGCATTTCATGAAAAAATAAACAATGAAATAACAGAGCACAGATGTAAGTTGTATTTGTATGTATAAAGTGTTGTTTTGACACATTCAGCACCGAGTAGTTAACATTACTTAAGCCACGGACGACCAGTATTTTATGTTTGTTAAATATTATTATTATTATTATGGTATTAATAAAACTTAAAAGAATTCCTTTGTTATATATTTTCTTCATTGGGGTGTTATTATACTGTTATAAACATTCATGGCTCCGACGTTGTTCTTCACAAATTCAGCTCGACGTGTACGTCTTCTTGTTTTCTTTTTTCTTTATTTAAATCGTTTCACGAAGGAATCTGTCGAAAATAGAGGAATCGTTTGCAGTTTGACGAGCCTGATGCAGTAAGTAGTCATATTTCTCAGTATGTATCAACTAAATGTTGACATCATTGAATGTGACCTCAAGGACACGGCCATTTCGACATGAAAACAATTGAATTCTGAGACACTTTTTAAACTAAAGCTATTATAATCTGATAATACAATGAAAAACAATATCTGAACCTATATATATATAAAATATATTATTAAACTTTTTGAATTAAATTAAAATAAAAAATTATAAATTAATATATATATATAATAATATAATATTGTATATAATAATACTCTCTTTCTCGTAATCTTCATCTAGTTTCGTCTTGCATTCTAATTTCACTCATAATCTCGTATATTGAACAAATACATCATATACAACATTATTATAAACATATTTTACAGTATCTGAAATTAAAAATAGGCGAAATTTCACCTAAGGAACGTGCGAGGATTAAATATTGCTCTGATTAATTACATTTCTAACCGACGTACACTTTGTATTCGTTTTATTATTTTTATATATTATAATCTATAAAATCTTTATATATATTATATTATATTATTTTTATATATTATAATCGCCGTTATTTTCTACGCAAGAAACACCAGATTTCACTAATTTTTTAATTTACGATTATTCATATTGTAAAGATATATAACACTTAGACAAAATCTTATTGTTACTTTTATAAATTAATAGAAAACAGCTGCTTTTTTTGAGCTCCGTAAATCTAGTAGTAGTCGGATGCGATGACGTAATCGCTGTGCTGTCAGCGAAGGGTGCTGTGTTTGTATATTCGGTCGTCAGGAGGTCAGAGATGTGTAAAGTAAACAGAGCAACGGTCTGAATAATGCTACTTTGCTGCACGCATGTTTTCATTTCGTACAGGTCAGTGTATTCTTGGTATTTAACAAGCAAGTGTTTTTTGCTTAGGTAAGACTGCATTCAAAGAAATATGCTGTGCGATAGTTGTTTTTTAATTTGACTAACTGGCCCTTATGCCAGACTTTGTCGAATGCCTGAGATATATCTGGGAATAGCGCAAAGCAAACTCTTTGCACTTCTGAGCCCTTATTAACGTTTCTGATCTTCTCATCTTTCCCTGATTAACGTTCTCGAAAGCCAAACTGAATTCAGTATTATTGTAGTAATTAATTTAATTATATAATACTATAATAATACTATTATTATAGTATTATTATTATCAGTATTATTTTCTTTTCTGTTAGTCTAGGTTTTATCCTTTCCAAAATTAGTTTTTCTAAGACTTTGGGCATTATGGGCAATAAATTAATTGGTCTATACGATGCTGGTAAGGTCGGACCTTTTCCTGTTTGTAGTAGAAGTATTATTTGCGATATCTTCTATTGTGCTGGGAAGTGGTTGAGCCTAATCACAGCATTATAAAGTATAGTGAGTATTCTCATAATTTTATTTGACGACCCTCTTTTAGGATTTTATCTGATATCAGTCCATAGGGACTTAATCAGTTAGTCTTACACAATAGTTAGGCTTAATCAGTTAGCCTTACTCAATAGTTAGGCTTAATCAATTAGCCTTATTCAATAGCTAGCCTTTATCAATTAGCCTTATTTAATAGCTAGGCTTAATCAATTAGCCTTACTCAATAGTTAGGCTTAATCAATTAGCCCTACTCAATAGCTAGGCTTAATCAATTAGCCTTATTCAATAGCTAGGCTTAATCAATTAGCCTTACTCAATAGTTAGGCTTAAACAATTAGCCTTACTCAAGAGTTCTCCAACAGACCCAGGACAAAATGCTCCTTTTCCTTTCCTACATCATTTCTGCAAGGCTCTTTAAGGTTAAATATTAAATGTCTCACCTTGACATAATATACAGTGCACGAGTATATAGATCAATTATAAGTCAAGACCTATCATCCTGCAATAGACGTGCCCTGCATCTTACATGTTCTGGTATCTCAAAAAACATCCGGTTACTTGAATAATGTTCATAAACCCGTATATGTCGCGAGTATCTCAGTTGTTCAGTTGGAACCGTTCGGGAGACTTTCAGAACTCCTAAACTCATCCGTGGTCAGGATCCAACTTTCGACATATGTCTTGTTATCTGTTTGCAGGCCCAACAGCGCGTCTACGTCAGCCAGGTTGAATCAATCACGCGCCGTTAAACTATCACAGATAGAAGATAGAGTCCTAGTTAGCTGGATCATCTTCTTCAGGGAAGATTCGCAGCAAACATCGGCCATGTATTTCTCTTCATGTCCTACAGAGAATCGTCCGGTGGCATAATTTACTAGATACAATATTTTCGGAGCCGACTAGGACTCAAATCTTTTGTCATCGATGACTCAGTGGCACGTGATCGTTTCAGCAGTTGCATCTTCTTCATGAAAGATTGTTCGCCTACGATTTTCACCGAATCTTTTTTCAGCAGTTGCGTCTGGAGACCGATTCGACTAAGTGCAATGCTTGCCCACAAGGTCTTCAAGAAAGAAAAAAAAGACCACCAAGGTCTCTTGAGGAGCCACATGAAGAGTCACAGCCAACCGGAGACCAGGAAGAAGCATAAGCGCGAGATTTCCGGGTTCGAGACGTTTTATAGCTACTGCTAACAAGGGACATCTTTCTAAGTCATCTTTCGAGTCCAGTGAAGAAGTTCAACTCGCTAAGTTTGCGGCAAAGTGATCAGGCGATTGTACATGAAGACACGTGCTTGAACACACACCGGCGAGGAACCGGAGATTTGCAAGTTTTGTTGGAAAGGAAGCACCTAGCCAAACAGCGAAGAATTTGACACCGAAGAGCGGCCTTACAAACTTGAAATCTGCAAGAAATGGTTTCACAGAGCACAATTAGTGTCCATTTGCGTCGACACGATGCTGTGAAATTGGCTAGCTTAAAAATTCTGCAATTAATTTAACACTTTGCACTCCGACGCACCACTAAAATTGTTACACTACGTGCCAAGATAATTTTTACATTGTCAAAACTTAGATACGAAAGATTGTTAAAAGTCTAACTGTTGTATGAGTCACAAGACTCAATTTCATATGCATGAAACGAACTTTGTTATATAAAATGGAAATACTATAAGTCAGAGAAGTTCATTTAGATTTACAATTAAAATGGTCTCGAGTGCAAAGGGTTAATTATTGTTCGATGCTGTGCCCAAACTCGCCTTGCACTTGTTCTGCGGTTATTGCTAGATTGCGGATTTTAATGCGTGCAATGAGTATTTAAGATGACAGAAAAGTTGAAATATATATAATTTGTATAATAATTATATATTTATATACTATTCATATATTATATTTATATATTATATAATTATATATTTATATAATAATTTTGTCTTACGTATTATTTCTTGTCTATTAAAGAAGAAATCTGGTTGCTATTTGGTTTGTGTTTCTTGCGATTGATGCAGACAGTGTTTATTTTGCATAAAAATAATCCAAAATATAACTATCAAAATCCGCAGTCTAGTCATTGTAGAAAATAGAAAATATTCAACAAAGAAATATTGTACGGTTTTCTGTTGTTTTTTTTAATAAACAGCTGTGCATTGTTTTTGTCAAGGAACTGTACTTAGCTATTTTATAATAGATATAAATGTATAAATTGTAATAAAAATTGTAGTCCTCACATATAAATAATAATGTTTTTTTTTTAAATACTTCAATTTTATAACTACCAGGTATGCAATTGTCTAAATTATTTTAAAAAAAAAGTTATTATTACTTTGAAACGGTGGTGAAATTATTTATAGCAATAGCTGGCAAAGAAGTGATACATCAAGTAAGAACGAGATTTTTTAAGTTGCCTAGATTTTAAGAATTGACAATTCAATAATCGAAAATCGATTAACAATGAATAAATTGTTGTACGAATAAGTCTGAATTAACTAACGCTAGGGAAAATATCAATTTCCTCCGATTATTATAATTGCTTTATTTGTCACAATTTAGATCATTATACATGGTAAACGACATGCAAAACCAAAAGTAGCGACCTAAAAAATTATAATAATGCGGTAATCATGTTATCGATGGGAATCAATCATCACTTGAAGCTTGAGAAAAATATTATCCTAACTTAAAAATGATTGAAACAGTTGATATTTTATTCAGTATATCACACGTTTATTTATTTATCACTGAACCGTTTCGCACATCATTTACAAGAAACAGGAACTGCATAAATACTTATAGCCGTCTCGAATAATTTTAATAAGTTCTAATTAATATAATCAAATTTTTTGTTAAATGTCTCCAATCGTGTCACTACTTTCAGTTTCATTTACTAAATAGCAAACTAATTAGTAGTCCAAGTAGTAGATTCTAATCGTGTCACTACTTTCAGTTTCATTTACTAAATAGTAGACTAATTAGTAGTCTTAAGTAGTAGACTCTAGTCGTGTCACTACTTTCAGTTTCATTTACTAAATAGTAGACTAATTAGTAGTCCAAGTAGTAGACTCTAATCGTGTCACTACTTTCAGTTTCATTTACTAAATAGCAAACTAATTAGTAGTCCAAGTAGTAGACTCTAATCGTGTCACTACTTTCAGTTTCATTTACTAAATAGTAAACCAATTAGTAGACTAATTCTGAGCCCAATCGTTACTATCTCATTATTATCGTCCTGAATTTCTCTCAGAAGATCCCATTACTTTCACCCATCCCTAAAACATCAATCCGCGAGTTTCCGTCAGAATATGCGTCTCTGAAGAATTCTACTCGCTACGTGTTTATACATCTAAGAGTGGTTTAAGGTTATGTCCCGATTACCGCTGTAAAACGCGTCTCGAATTCCAATGTCCCCGACGTTAGACCACCAGACCGGAAGAGGAACTAAAAGCAGAGTTCGTTATCTTAACGGAAGAAAGCAAAACGAAAGACAGCCTTACCTAAAGAACCACGTGTACCGCTTATAATTCCACGTGAAACGTGTGCCCGTTCCGTTATCTCTCATTCACGAATTTTGTCGATTTCAGGTGCGAGGAGATCATCGAGTACACGAAAATAATCGAACCGATTAGCACGTTCGAGGGTATGGAGTTGATCAAGTATCAAACGGAGGAGGTGTGCGTCGAAGAGTACGAGGTTACGCATCAGGAGATAATCACGGAGACGTTAGAGTTCATCGAGGAAACGGACTCGAGCCTGATAGACGAGTCGCAGCTTGTCGAAGAGGCCGAGCCGGGTCTCATCGCGGAAGCCCGGTCGAACCTGATCGAGGAGGCCGAGTCGGACATGATCGACGAGGCCGAGGCGAACCTGATCGAAGAGGTCGAAGAGAACCTGGTGGAAGAAGTCGAAGAGAACCTGGTGGAAGAGGTCGAAGAAAACTTGGTCGAAGAAGTCGAAGAAAACCTGGTCGAAGAAGTTGAAGAAAACCTGGTCGAAGAAGTTGAAGAAAACTTGGTGGAAGAAGTTGAAGAAAACTTAGTGGAAGAAGTCGAAGAGAACCTGGTGGAAAAGGCGAAGCCACGCTTGAAGGACGAGACCATGTCGACGCTGATGGACGAGTCGTCCATGTCGAACATGGAGCTGCGACTGGAGTCGGAAACGGACGAGGAGATGGAGCGGGAGCTGGAGCGAGAACTGGAAAAAGAATCGAAGCCGGAACCGGAGTCGGAACCGGAATTGGAGTCGGACCTGGAAGAAGCAGAATCAGAATTAGAAACGGAAGCGAAAGAAGCGGAGTCGCCTCGAATGAGCAAACCGTACCTCAGCGACCGGGACATGAGCAACAAGTGCTCGGTGATCTACGAGTGCGACATCTGCAAGAAAAGGATACGGAAGAAGGTGGCGTTCTTGAGGCACAGGCAGGACCACGAGAGGAATGGCGACGAGCTCTGCCACTGCGACGAGTGCGACAAGTCGTTCATCGACGACGACAAATTGAAGAAGCACATGGTGAAGGTGCACCAGAAAGAGAAGCCGTACCAGTGCATGCTCTGCACCAAGTGCTTCAAGACCAAGGAGTTCTTGAAGACCCATCTGAAACAGCACAACAAACGGTTCACATGCGACATATGCGGCATATCGAAGGTGTCCGGCTACGATCTGCGGCTGCACAAGAAGAAGCACAACGAGGAGTACGTGGCCAATTGCGACATGTGCGGCAAGGGGTTCTACACGAAGCAAACGTTGGAGCGACACCTGCTGACGCATACCGGCGAGAAGCCGTTCGTCTGCACGATCTGCAAGGCCGCTTACGCGAGCTCGGCTTATCTGGGCACGCACATGAAGTCGCACGGCGAACGGGAGAAGTTCAAGTGCACCCTGTGCAACTTCGAGAGCTACTGGAAGGGCGCGCTGAAGGTGCACCTGAAGATACACACCGGCGAGAATCTGATCGCCTGCGAAGTCTGCGGGAAATCGGTCTCCAGCAAGGCGTACCTGTCGGTGCACATGCGCATACACTCCGGCGAGAAGCCGCACGTGTGCGAGGTCTGCGGGAAAGCGTTCAGCGTCAGGAAATATTTGATAGTGCATCTGAGAACGCACACCGGCGAGCGGCCGTACGAGTGCAGAGTCTGTCAGAAGAGATTCACGCAGCAAGGATCGCTGAATTCGCACATGAAGTCTCATATACCGAGGAAGTGAAGTGAAGCGAAGCTCCGACATTGTTCACAACGAATTAGACAGTTTGGTGGATGCTTGGTCAACGACTTCGTATGTTCAGCACTGACGTTTGGGTTTAGGTTTTGTTATGTCTCGAGGTCGGAAGTTATTTCTCTAATTGCGTGTGAACCTCGCGACGAATGTCGAAGAAGTTTCGTGCGAAGATTATTAGTTGATAATTCGTCGAGTTTTGCTGATTCGATGGCTCAATTAAGTTTCAATACATATTTGTCGAGTGTGACTACACAATCCTGTTTTCTTAAATATTGACTTGTAAACTGATATTTTAGATTTGATTTTCTCTGGGACGAGGCTTTTAGCCGAAGCAACTTTGTGTCTAGACTCTTATTTCACGTGTGAAAGATTAGATTTTATTTCTTCACGACATTTTTGTATATATAATTTGTCGGACAGAAATTGACTCGACCTGCATAAAGTAATACGTATAAGTCAATATTTTAAGGGATTTTAAGAATTTCTTAGAATGTACACTCGGCAAACAAGATAGCACACTTTGAAATTAACGTGATTTTTCGTTATTTTATATTGGAACCAAGGTTTTATTACTGTACAAACTTGCAAAGTATCATTGTAAATATACACAAATGACATGGAATTGATTTGCGCCAGTCGAAACAATCATATTTGAATAAAACGCATTATTATGGAAATATAGTGCGACAAAATGATATTTACACAACAAATGATATTTAATGATAGCATACATGTTTATTTGCTATTTACTTTTCCTGTTATGCATTTGATTTCCATTTTAGCATAGTACCGCACCAAATCATCACACGATATTTTTTATGGAACGAGGTTTAGCTTACAATTAAATGGGCCTGATGAACTAAATTACTATTGGCAAATGGGTAGTGGTGATGTGATGATTTGGCGCTGTATCGAATACTGTGGTGAAACGGAAATCAAATCAACAAGAGAAGAGTGAATAGCAAAATGTATTTGGAAAAATTATTATTATCATTGTAAATTGTTGAGAAAATCTTGACCGGGCTATATATATATATATATATATATATATATATATATATAACAATAATATATAATAATATAATAATAATAATAATAATATAATATATAATAATATAATAATGTATACATATTAATATCTTTTTGCTCTACTTGTTCTCACCCATCTTGAATACATTTTTTTAATTCAGCAATGTATCCAAATTGTTTGCCATTTATATATTTGTTGATTTATTACTGTGCATAATTTTTAGTTAAAGCGTGCAATCATTTTGTCGCACTGTATTTCCATAGATATGCGTTTTATTTAAATAAAATTGTTTCCACTGGCAAAGATCAATTCCATTTCATTTGTGTATGTTTATAATGATACTTTGCAATTTTAAAGTGTGCTATCCTTTTGTCGCCGAGTACAAAAGTGGTTGACATGTAATTCTTTTTACTTAAGCCTTTTCTATGATGATTTCGATGTTGAAATTTATATGACGAGAATCGAATGCGTATTGCTCAGAGATTTTATAACGCGATAGCGTGGTATCAGCTTGCTGACGAGAGAAAAATGTGTTTGCACATGTTAAATATATCGAATAAATATACATTTGTAATTTCATAGAACGAGGAGGAAGTCGTTAATATAAGCTGTATAAATCAACGTTGTAATAGTATTTTAATATTTAAGTGCTGAATTGTAAAACAGAAATTTGATGAAACTATATAAACATGAACAAGGAAACAACTTCGGTAATATTAGAGAGCTTTCCAATGAATATACTCAGTTCTGATTACGTTAAAAAAAATTTTGTTGAAATATTCACAGAAAATGTAACAGTTTTCTAATGTTCTACAAAGTGCCATGATATAAAACAGATATTACTCACACAAAATTAAGTACAACGTATTGTGTACTTAGGAAATATTGTATAAATACTTATTTTCTTCGCTTTTTATCGTTTCAATTATCTCACATGAAAAGAAAATTTTAACGTTATACAGTTCTTATTTTTTTTTTTAATAATCGGAATTTACAATCATTATTTTATACACAGACTTTTATCAGTTAAAATACGAAGCGACCAGCCTGGCGTTCTAACAAAGAATTCTCGTATAAATCATATTTTGTATATCATCTTGCGTGTCACATTTTCATTCGATTCTAAAGATTTTAAAAGTACGTAGTTAAGTTATTCGTACCATTAACATTATACATAGTGTATCTGTGCTTAACATTACAAAATATGTATGCCAGGTCGTAAAAGTAAGCGTATAATTTTCGTATGAACATTGCTGTTGCTAAAAATATATTTAACGAAGTTTCCTTTCGTTACCGCAACGCGTATTTACCATTTTCAATGAAAGAAAAACAATTCATAAATCTGTATTACACGAAACGAGCACGATTAAATATTTTCGAGCGGCAATATATTGTTAAATTATATTGTTCATACAAGTTGAGCAGACAATTACACAAACACCACAATATGGTTTGCTGATTTCTTTGTTCTGTAAATATTACATTATACACTGTCATCTCTACGTTAGTGTCTAAAACGCGTAATTTAGGATGATATACGCCTGTTATGCTACTTCTTATCTTTATAATAACGTTAAGAAAAATATTATAAACTATACGCCACGATTATGTATAATAATATCTTCGTTGAATGCATTTAATGTATCGCAGGAAAATTAGTACGAATAATTAGGACGTGTAATATTTAACCCTTTCAATCGATGTACAGACAATTCGCCGTTTTTAATTAGGAAAGATGTATAATATTAATAATATATATTATATAGTAATAATATTATAATAATAATATATATTATTATTATTATTATTATCTATACATACAGGGTGTCCCAAAAGTCACTCTGTATTGCGAAATAATGGATTCCTGAGATCATTTGGAGTAACTTTTTCTGTTACAAAAATGTTCTCTGAGGCATCGTTAACGAGTTTTTCGTTAATAACTCGTAAACGAAGCCGCGGATCGCATTTTCGCTGAGGAAAAAATTGCTTCAAATGACCTCATGAACCCGGAAATACAATAATTTTAGGACACCCTGCATATATATATTATAATAGTATATATAATAGTAATATTATAAAGATAAAGCTTATACGTTTTCCTTTTTTTTTGTATTTCGTCAATTGTCCACGGGTTAAATGTTGACACAATTTCTGTTCTTCGGCGAGGAATCTTCTATGCCTTGCGAGGTGGGAATGGCAAGCGGTGTACAAGAAGTATAATAGAATTTATCACGGAAACAGCTTCATTACATCCTGATCTTTTCTAAGAGTGATTTTTATACGTGATTAGTGTGATCCATGTATCCGGAGATAGAAGAGCTGTACGTCGCAAACGTATTTATTGTACCGAGAGAGAGTGAGAGAGAGAGAGAGAAAGAGAGAGAGATGTCCGACGTTTTCCGGAACAATGACAACATCAAGCTTTCGTTCCGGCGAAAGAGAACGTCGCACGCGAAACGTTAAGGTTTATGTCAAGAAGAGAGAAGAGGACGACAAATTAGAAACGCATTAAAATTCGAAAGCTCTCGGTACCTTCGTTCCCGTGTGTGTACGATTCCAGTGTATTCCGCATGTAAATCGAACCGACATATTTTTTTAATAAAAAACAGATTCCACCTGCAAAAACCGAAGTTGTCGTTGCTTCTAAATCGATAGAGTAAGAATCGCTATTGACGAAACTCTTTTTCTCGTTTTCTTCGCAGATCTACAGAACCGGTAAGAAGACCAAGAAATAGTTCTTCGTCGGTCGTCGAAACCTCGACGCAAGAAAGCGCAGTGAAAATGTCCGCCGTCTTCGTCGGGATTAAACACGAGAGCGTTTCTTCAACGGGATTCCTGGAGAGGAGATGGTCGTCGTCGTCGCATCACGAAATAGGAGACGCGGATCGATCGTCGTCGCAGACGTATTACCGTTGCGAAGTGTGCGCGAAGCTTTTCCGGACGAAGAACTTGTACGAAGGTCATCTGGTTTCGCACAGCGACGCGCGACCCTTCCAATGCGACACCTGCGGGAAGACGTTCAAACGGACGAACACCCTCGCGGTTCATCGGAGGATCCACACCCGGGAGCGAAACTTCGTCTGCGACGTTTGCGGCCACGCGTTCGTCCAAGCCTCGCAGCTGACGATCCACCAGAGACGGCACTTCGAAAGGTACACCAGGTACTGCGAGGTCTGCAAGAAAGGATTCTTCACGAACGCGGAACTGCACGGTCACATGAACGTGAAACACGGCGCCAAGGAGCACGTGTGCCGTTACTGCAACAAATCTCTGCCCAACAATCATACCCTGGTGAAGCATCTGATGCTGCACGACCCCAATTTCAAGCCTGTGAAGC